GCCGCCGGGCTGTGGGAGGGTCTGGTCCTCCACGCTCCACCCTGTGTCGCGTCCCGCACCGCTCGGTCCAGCCGCTGCCGCGGTCGGTGCCGCCGCCGGGCTGTGGGAGGGTCTGGCCCCCCACGCTCCACCCTGTGTCGCGTCCCGCACCGCTCGGTCCAGCCGCTGCCGCGGTCAATGCCGCCGCCGGGCTGTGGGAGGGTCTGGCCCTCCACGCTCCACCCTGTGCCGCGTCGCGTCCCGTTCGGTCCAGCCGCAGCCGCGGTCGATGCCGCTGCCGGGCTGTGGGAGGGTCTGGCCCTCCACGCTCCTCCCTGTGCCGCGTCGCGTCCCGCTCGGCCCAGCCGCTGCCGCGGTCGATGCCGCCGCCGGGCTGTGGGAGGGTCTGGCCCCCCGCTCCACCCTGTGCCGCGTCCGTCGCGTCCGCTCGGTCCAGCCGCTGCCGGGCTGTGGAGGGTCTGGCCCTCCACGCTCCACCCCGTGCCGCGTCGCGTCCCGCCCCGCTCGGGTCCAGCCGCTGTCGCGGTCGGTGCCGCCGCCGGGCTGTGGGAGCGCCTGGCCCTCCACGCTCCACCCTGGCCGCGTCGCGTCCGCTAGGCCCAGCCGCTGCCGTGTTAGATGCCTCCGCCGGGCTGTGGGAGCGCCTGGCCGCTGACGCTCCGCGCCGTCCGCCACCAGGAGATCGTCGACGTGGACCCGTGCCACAAGTTCACCTGGTGCCTGGACGCCTGTATCCGGGAGCGGACCGTGGACCACAAGCGCGGCCGCGAGCTGCAGGGCTTCCTCGACTCGATCAGGAAGGGCAACGAACAGGTGAGCCCGGCCGTCGCCAGACGCGTGTGACTTCGCCAGAGGCGCTGGGAGGGGATGCGCGGCGGCCGTCCGGACCTGCCTCGGTTGTAAAGGCATGAGCGCTGAACCGCGCATGAATTGCATTATCTTGGATCGAACTCTGTGTTGGGTGTTATCTTGGGTCGAACACATGTTGCATGCCTCTCATGTCTCCAGTCTTGGTAAGTGACAGCGGCTGATGTCGGCCCATGATTTTGTGGAACGGCTCTGTATTTTACTGAGAAACTCAGCTGTGTGGTGTTAATTCGACAATCTGTGTCCGTTGCGCGTAGTATCTGGGTGACTGCATGGTGTATTCGTGAGATGTAAGACGAGAACTGCAGGGGTTTCGGGCGTGCGGGACGTCTGAGGTGTTGCTCCCGTCGGGTCTCTACCAGAGGCATTATGTGTCGTCCATCATCCGGGCCTTTGGAGGTCCTGACCAGCGATGGCCTGGCGTGACCGCGCAATGACCTGGCGTAACCGGCCGATAACCTGGCGTGACCGGCTGATGACCTGGCGTGACCGGCCGATGACCTGGCGTGACCGGCCAGTGACCTGGCGTGACCGGCCAGTGACCTGGCGTGACCGGCTGATGACCTGGCGTGGCCGGCCGATGACCTGGCGTGGCCGGCCGATGACCTGGCGTGACCGGTCGATGACCTGGCGTGACCGGTCGATGGCCTGGCGTGACCGGTCGATGACCCGCGTGGCTGGCCGATGACCTGGCGTGGCTTGGCCGATGACCTGGCGTGGTCGGTCGATTACCTGGCGTGGCCGGCCGATGACCTGGCGTGGACCGACCACGCCCGCTCGGCAGATCCTCAGCGACCTGTCTATGATCCTGTGCGACCCGTTCGCCGTCAACTTCCTGGCGACGTCGGCGCTGAAGATCCTGGCGCAGCTCATCAACAACGAGAGCCTGCCGCGCGAGCACACTGTGCTGCTGCTGCTGCTGCGCATGCTGGAGCTGGGCCTACACGCCTGGGACATGATCGACCGGCAGGTCAGCTTCGTCTCAATGCGTCGGCTTTTCTACATTAGCTACATGAAATCTGCTTTTTATGCGCAAGGCTTGCATGATGCCAGCGTACAAGAGTGATCATAATGCTCGCGGCAGGATGTAATGCGCGGTTGTGCTTAGAGTTCACGGGCTCGTGCCCGATGGGTTCAGCGTGCTTTGGCCGTGAGCATGTGTTCTTCGGTGTCAAGGAGCTGGATGGGCCCAGGCTGGGCAGTTTGCGTCCGTGTTTTATTAGTTAAGTTATGCCGTCGTCAATGATGTCCATTCTCGAACATGTGTCAAGAGTGACGGGCTGACGGGCGTAAGAATCGTATTTGGTGACGCTCAGTTGTTTGTTGTTACCTGTTGGAGGTGGCGTTACCAGCCGTGACCATGTCGTGCGGTATGCCAGCGGCCGGTCTGTGGCGTACGGTGACTGTGCGCCTCGGCCGGCCTGCCCCGGCGGCGGCGGCGGCGGGTGTGGCGTCCCGCTGACCGGTCCGCCGCGCGTGACAGGAGTTCCGCGAGCCGCGGCTGGACCCGCAGGTGGTCACCAAGTTCGTGCCGTCGCTCGTCTCGCTCATCGTCGATGACCAGGTGCGCGCGCTCAACCAGAAGCTGCCGCCTGACGAGCGGGCCTCGGCCATCACCATCATCGAGCACTCGGGTGAGTCGCCCTGCGCCGGCAGCGGCCGACGCCGCCCGCTCCGACGGCCGCCGGCGCCTCCAGACACTGGGGCTCACCACAGGCCGGGAGCCGTCCAGTTCTGGCGTATTGCGCTCCGACGGCCGCCGGCCTGGCTCCAGACTCTGGGGCACACCAAAGGTTGCGGACGCCACCCGCTCCGACGGCTGCCGGCCTGGCTGCAGACACTGGGGCTCACCACAGGCCGGGAGCCGTCCAGTTCTGACGTATTGCGCTCCGTGTCTGAGGTATAGTGCTTACTGCGTGACTCAGCCGCGTTGTGTACGTTCCGTCCCAATGCTTGGTGTAAGTTGCGATGCTTGGTGGCGTGTCTAGCGTAGCCTGCCCGTTGATGTCGCGCTACACCAGGCGCACATAACCGAGCCGCTCTGTGCCGCAGGCCCACCGCCGGACGCCTACCAGGCGTACATAACCGAGTCGAGCGTGGCCTGCCTGCTGGCCGTCTACTACACGCTGCAGACGGCGCGCAGTCGCGACCGCGTGGGTCTGATGCGCGTGCTCGGCTGCCTGTCGGCCAGCGAGGGCGACCGCGCCTTCGACGACACCTTCCTGCACACACTGGTGGGTGGGCTGCCGTGCCGTCCCGGCCAGGCAGAGGCTGGCGCGCCTGTGGGCCAAGGGTGCGGGGGCCGGCTGTGCGAGGCCTGTCGTGTGCGAGAGTTAAGGTGGTAACAGTTGTACCAGATACCAGTTCAGTGGTGAGTGCCGTATGACAGATGGTGCCGCGTCAGTGGTGAGTGTCCTTGTCATGGGTCTTATGTACTTTCCAAGGCGATACGTGATGCCAAGCAAGGTTCTTCTGTAAACCGCAATGCATTTTAATCGCATGAGGCACCCTGCTTTTACTGGTTAGTGACAGATACCTGGGTTCAGTTTTTGTATGGTGGCGTGTCTGTGCAGGATCCCGATAGTCGTGTTGCCGTTGACCCCTGTCATTGGCGGCGCGGTGTCCGCCGCCTCGGTCTGTGACTTCCTGACCCTCACTCTGGCGGCCGCAGGTGACGCTGCTGATCGGGATGTCGGACGAGCTCGCCACCGAGGACTTCTGCACCGTTATCTTCGACGAGTTCTTCTTCACGGCGCTGGCCCGCGAGAACGTAGTGCAGCAGCTGGGCAAGCTTCTGTGGCACACGCATGCCAAGTTGCCGCACGCGCGCCGCGAGACCCTCATGCAGGCGCTTCACCATCAGCCCAACCTGCGGGTGAGTGTGGGTGTCACACGGTGGCACTGGCAGGTGGTGCTGACCGATGGGGCTAAGCAGGTGGCACTGACCGGTGGCGTGACTGGTGGCACTGACCGGGGGCGTGACTGGTGGGGCTGGCAGGTGGTGCTGACCAGTGGCGCTGACCAATGGTGCTGACTAGTGGGGTTGACAGGTGGTGCTAACCAATGGCGCTGACCAGCGGTGCTGGCAGTTGACCGGTCATCGTCAGGCGCCGCTTTGTTTTAGCGGCGAGCAGTGAGGGTCCCGCCTGCCTACATTCTTCAAAGTCGAGCAGGACTAGGAGATGCCAATGAATGTTGCAGTATGGCACACGAATTACACGAGCATCATTTTAAGTGCTTTTCGCGTAAGAAATGTCAGTGCATGGCTTAACCTAGCCCAAAACGGGTCGCGGCATTCAGGTGTTTTTACCGAGAGTTGTCCCTCCAGGACTGAATGCTGATCAGAAGGTCTCATTGTCTCCAATCATGAATGGAGTCAAGTAACGTGACAGATATGACTCCTTTGATTGTGATACCTGGGGAGGGCTTGACGCGGGAGACGGGTTCTCGGTTCCAACGCCCCACACTCCACGTTCACGTTCTGAGGGCTGTAGGACCAAGTTCGCTTGAGCTCTTCCAGTGCCTCCGTGACCTCCGTCCTGTCTCCCCGGTAGCCGCTGCTGGAACAGCTGCGGGAGAAGATGGAAAAGGATGAGTGCGACGTCGAGATGGCGCCACCGCCGCCGCCCGCCGACTCCCCGCTGATATCGGTACCGACGCCAGCGCCGCACCGCGGTGACTATCCATAACTTCTGTCGGGCCGGCGACCAGCTGAAACTTCGGTCGAACCGACACCAGCGCCGCGCCGCGGCGACCATCCGTAACTTCCGTTGAGCCGACGCCAGCGCCGCGCCGCGGCGACCATCCGTAACTTCCGTTGAGCCGACGTCAGCGCCGCGCCGCGGCGACCATCCGTAACTTCCGCCGTGCCGACGCCAGACTCATGTCCGTTGATATCGTAGTGCTGTCTTACGCCGCCGGTCCTCAGCCCTCCCGACATTCCCAGCTGTACTTGACTGCACTGTATCGGCTGGCGCTGCCGTCCGTGGCGGATGACCAGTTGGTGTTCGTTGGGAACCATGTGCCTGTTGGGCTACTTCGATCTGCCAGTCGCTGTGAGAGTCAGGTGAAGGTCTATGGCGCGGTGCAATGCATTGGACATGCGCCCGCGTTTGTACGATGAAGGAGTTGGTCATTTGCTGGCGGATTGTTTTCATTGTGCCCTTGGCTTTTGGTGAGTGTAGGGCATTTGAGTGTATATTTCAGTGACATTGTATGTTGCGTCGCGAGGTGTGAGGTATGTTATGGTCCTCTCGTGTATTGTATGCGCAATTGTGACATACATGACATCACTTATGGCATGTTTCATTCGGTTTTGGAGTTCGGTGTGACTTCTGATGGCTCCGTTGCCTGGCCGTTGTAGGGTTGAATGTTGCATTTGAATAATTTGCTCTTATAGCGGAATCATACAGCAGACTGTGGGCATTTGTAATGATAATCGCGTTGAGCCGACTTCGTCGAGATGTTTCTAACCAGCGCACTCACGAAACGCAAAAAGTCTTGTCAAGAATCTGGCGGAAGAATTACGTGATGACGCATAAGTTCACGTGCATAAGTTTAAGCTTACGGCGATGTGATAATCCTCCCGTTCAGCTTGTTAACAGTCGCTTTTCAACCCATCCGAATGCAGCGCGTTTGGTACAGCAAATGCAAAACAACGGTCCGGGCCACAGCTAGGCTGACCCCTTTGAGGAGTGCGATTTCGGGGCGGGGTTGCGGTGCGTGACGTACCGTTGGTCGATATATCGGGCTGGCAGAGGTATGAGATTACGCTCAGCACACAGATAGCCTTATCTCGGCGTCCGTCACTCCTCACTCTTTGTGCTGTAAGGCGTGCACTCTCCACATAGAATGATGATGTCAAGCCTGGAACCACAGCTGGGAGCAGCAGGAACACGCTGCCGCTGTCGAGAGAGGTTTGCGGCCGCCCCCGTCACTGTCCAAGACTGCTGTTCCCGGGGCAGGTGGAACCGCAGCAGCGCTTGTTGACACAGCGATAGCCGGCTGGGGGCGGAGGGACGCCGGCCTTCATTATCGTTGCGCCCCGTAGTGCGGCGGTCCGGCCCGGTGCCACAGGGAGCAACGCGAGCTGGCCGCGGCTGTGACCTGCTGTAGCTGGTGTCGCGGTGAGCTGCAGCTGAGGGGACGGCTGTGGTGTGAAGCGTCGAGCTTGACCGCCGTTCCGGAGGCAGTGTGGCTGTGAGCGAGCAGCTGCTGTCGGACCAGTGCTGAGTGCTGGACGAGTGCGAGAGACGCTCGGGACGCTCGGTTCGTGGCCAGAACCGCTGAGGTTCGGATGGTCCGCCAGCTGGACAAAGACCAGCCCGACAACGCGTGATATGTGATGTGGATGGTGTCTGCGAGGCGGCCGAGGTCCACCCGCGAACCAGGGAGACGCAGCGGCTGGGGACAGCGCGTGATACGGGTAGACTTGTGATTCAAGGAGAGGCAGCGGCCGAGGAGGGCGTGTGACGCCGGCGGACTTGGTGCGCGGCCTATGACGCCTGCGATCCAACCAGGCTTCCAACGCTGTGTTTGATCACAACAAACGACCTGTAACCCGAGCCTCGGTCTTTAGCGCGGACGGGAGGACTCGCACTCGCGCGCTGACGCGAGAGACGCGCTTTTACAGCCATGCAGTACCCATCCGAAGAGAAGGCGGAGGAGGAGTCCGGCTGCGGCCGCTCGGAGCCGTTCAGGCCCACCTGCTGGGACTTCAGCACGCCGTTCCTGTACGTGCTCTCTCTGGCCGCCAGCCTGATGAGCATCGTGCCGATGGGCCGCGTCACCTTCATCTGGCAGAACCGCGCCGGCCGGAGCAACTTCGCCATCTGCCCTCTGTACGCGGCGGCGCGGGACCGCGACAGCTGGGGCCAGCACGACAGCAGCGCCTGCTACGTGGCCACGTTCGTGCCGGTGGCGCCGCTGGCCGTGGCGCTCTGCCTGTGCGTGTACACGCTGGCGGCGGTGGTGTACGCGGAGCGCAGCCGCCAGCGCCGCTCGGTCGCCGGCGACGTCACCACCTGCGTCACCACGCTGGTCACGTGCGCCCTGTGCCTGGCGCAGGTTGGCATCCTCACGGACGGCGTGCGCAACACCTGCTTCGGCTTCCAGGTGGAGGACTTCGAGTACGAGGGCAAGGTGCGCATGAGCAGCTTCAACGAGGTACTCACCTGCCGCCAGGGGTTCGACACCAAGGTCAGTGCAGGTCACGGGGGCAGGCGGAGGGACGGACCCAAGCCTTCCCGGGGTGTTACCTGGTTGCGTTGGCGATGCAGTGGATGACCTTATGCGGCTCCGTCCCTTATATGGTGTTTGACCCCATGGTGTCAGTCCGAGCGAGAAGGCTTACAAAGCATACTGATATCTTCTCACTTAAGCCTCAGGTAGGATCACAGCAAGCGGCTGTTGCAAACATTAAAAGCCGTCACCAGACCCCTGCCGCCCAGCCACGCTGTCGACGGACGTGACAGCTGCCCAGCATCGGGTCCAGCCACCCCTGATGGCGCCACCTGTGCCGACCTTTGCAGGACCGCGACCACATGATCACGGCGATGGACACATACGGCCAGCTGATAACGGCGATGGTCGGCTCCTGGATCAACGCCAGCGTCTGGCTGCTGCTGCTGTTCGTGGCGTGCTCGCGAGCCTGCCACTGGTGCCGCTCCGGCGGCGGCGGTGGCGGCCGGGCGCCCATCACGGTGGTCCGGCGGCGGCGCGGCTCCCGGTTCGCCGACGAGTTCCCCGAGATGGCGGAGCGCCGCCGCGAGTCGTGGGTCTGAGGCGGAGGAGCGCCGCCGCGAGTCGCGGGTCTGAGGCGGAGGAGCGCCGCCGCGAGTCGTGGGTCTTACTCGGGGAAGCGTCGCCACGAGGCTTGGGTCTGACTCGGAAGAGCGCCGCCGCGGGTCGTGGGTCTGACGCGGAGAAACGTCGCCGCGAGTCGCGGGTCTGACGCGGAGGAGCCCCGTTGCGAGTCGTGGGTCCGACTCGGAGGATCGCCGTCTGGACTAGGGCCGAGCCGAGCGGCCGGTGGAGCGGCGGGCGTGTGGCGCAGCTGGGTTGAGAGCCTACGGCGGAGGGGTACAGGTCGGGTGTGATTGATCACCGAGAGGAGCACTCACACTGGGCTGGTGAATCTTACCACGTAGGAGTCCACACTGCACTCAGCTGGGGTTGTGTGCCGGACGTGTGCCAGCTCCATTGGCCCTGGATCGTGGACAGACATCAACCAGCGCTTTGGAAGTCTGCTCACCGGCACCTGTGTCGGGAGGTCTTCGCGTGAACTCAGTGTACATTGTGTGTTCGAAGCTAAGCTCGTCTGCCGTTTCGAGGAGATCAAAGCATAGCCGTGGATGACAGGACATCACTCACTGGCTGCGTCCCGCCGCCGCGGCTGCTCGGGGGTTTGCTGGACTATTGCCAGACAGCGCGATCACTGAACCTAGTCGGAATGGTATCGGGTGCTTAACACCGGATGTGGCCGAGTCTTCGGTCCCAAGTGCGGCGAGAGTGCTTGGACTTCCGAGGTCCCTGAGAGAGTCACGTGATGTGTGCGTCAGATGGACTCAAGCGCACGTGGTCTGTCTTTGGGCTGTTCAGTTTGGGAGAGGCACGGCTCCCAGTGATTTGGCCCGGCGTGTGTGGCCAGCTTACCGTTTAGTTCATCGTGCTGTTGATGTGCTTTGAAACGTAGCTAAGGCAGTCAAAGGCACAAAGTAGGTAGTTCGCACTGTACATGCCGGTGGACGTGTCATGTCATCTGCTAATTAGTTCCAAATTGAGAACATCTTCAATAAGCAGCATTTCACGAAAGTGTGAGTTATCGCGCTACGTTTTCCTGATCCTTTCGTAGCCTGGCTACAGCTCCGACCCCGCGGAAACCGGGCACGAGCAGCTCATGGTATCTTCACCACACTGATGCTACGTGATGGCGTCTTGATACGCTCGCCATTGCTGTGTGTATGTTGAACGCGCTGATAGCGCTGGAAGGCATTGAATGATCGACCCCTTTAGCCATTCACATTTACCAGTTCAAAGCACTGCTCTGCCGTGAAACTTATTTCCCCGACGCAAGCCAAAAGTATTGGAACGTTCTTCCTCATCTCTCTCCCGCGACCCCATGTAGGACCACAGAGTTTTTCTCCAGTTTTTTTCCGCTTTTGAGGGGATGCAGGCCCCGTGCACGATATTGAGAAAAATAGAGTGAATGGGAATGCTGCAGTCCGTCCGCTTCAACGCGATTTGAGTCTGACTCCACAGTGTTAATCGCCATACTGTGCCCACAGTGTCCAGCGGGCGCCCAGGCCCTACGGGCACGGACACTGCTCGGTGTTCCGGAATTCTGGCATTAAAGGCTAAAAAATGAGCATCATAATACAGATAACTTGTTCCGCCCACTATCGTCGGCACATGATCATTGAATTAAGATCAAGGCGTGGAATCATTTGTCGTCGAACGTAGACACGACCTGAATGTCATTGGGAAGAACTAATAGGGCTTAATCTAACTTCGCAGCTTTTCTGGTTGTACGGCCATTAGTGCCTGTGATGTGGACCTATATGCATGGAAGTGGTCAGGTCGTCACTCAGTCCTGCATTTCCCATAATACGTGGGAAATACAGCACCGAGTGAATAACAAATACAACGTCGCCACACGTCTTTCCACGACAGAAGGCATAATGAGCTTTCACTTTCTTTACAGTTGCCTCAAATGTCCCCCAGATACAGCTATATTGACCCTTGCACTCGCTAGCCTATACGTTGAACGGTGTCACCTCCAGAGATCACAGCACCCGACATCGATAGTCGACATTGATCGTCAAGATCATTGATACCAGCCAATTTCGACCTTCTGGCGCCGTTGCAGCCTATGGTAGCATGTGGAGTAAATATAAAGAAAATCAAAGTGGTTGGTATTGGCACGCAGTATCTGGTACACATGTTAATCACTACGGGATTATATGAAACACTGGCCATTTTCAAACATGTTAATCGATACCACAGAAACCAATAGTCAGACCACCAACCATGGTGCACAGCTACATTCGGACCGACAAGGAGCTTCCATTGGCATACAGGCCTTGTCTTCTGCCCAACAAAATATACCTGACTTGTCATGACCCTGCCCCAGAGTCGTTTACTCCTTTGGCGGCGTAGATATGCATCAGTTATAAGGCGGAGCGGATTCTCTATGTTCTGATGTGGTCAAATGAGGTCCGACCCTCAAATGCGTGGTCAATCCGTTTAGCTAGCTGGTTGAGGAGTCATCGCCTTGCTGCGTGGCAGATTTGAGCGCAGGGGAATGGGTCGGTGGTTTCTGCTGAATGTGAATATCAAACTCATGAAAAACTCGTGGATGTTTCTCAAAGCGCATTTGCCATATCCATTGTTGCGAGGATTTTAAAAGGAGCCGATGCGATGTACCACGAAAATAACAGCATGGGCCTGTGGGCTGTCGGGAATATCGGGTCGATTTCTTGGCCGGCGAAGAGATGCAGAAGCTGGGTCCTGGGGGCCGGTCTTACATGGTGACAGGGGAGCTGCGACTAAGGCGCACCGAGCACGGCCACGTCCTGCTCGTCCTGCTGCCACCGAGTCTCCCTAGCGTGGGGATGAGCCCGGCACGTCCTGCTCGTCCTGCTGCTACCGAGTCTCCCCAGCGTGGGGACGAGCCCGGCACGAGTGTTTCTGTTCCCCGACATACTTCTCTTTACGGTCTTCGTTCATTTTTATCTTAGAAATGGCTCATCGCACATCACCGAACCCGTAATGTTTGCCCCACTTAGTTACCACTTAAGCTTACCAGCACTGACTGCATAAGGACGAGGCACGATTCGAAAATTCATCCGCAATCACCGGTGTTGAACGTGCAAGAATTGCATTGTGCGGTCAAATGAAATGCGGTAACAAACACCCCGTCGCCATCAAAAGGCTGCACATGTTTCGCGACAATGCACCGCAACAGCATGCAGTCAGCGCTAACTGGGCGGTAACCCGAACCAGGCAGCCCGGCAGCCCCGGATGCAGCCTGTGCGGCCAGATCGGACGTCCTCGTTCCCGTGGCGGCCGGGCGAGGGCGAGGCCCGCGGCTCTCCCAGCGATCTGTCACTGGGGCCGGCAGGGGCGGACGGTGGCCGTCACAGTCCGGCGCCAGGTTCGACTTCGGCGAGTCCGACCGAGCCATCCGACGAGATATTCGAGGCGTTACGCAGCCAACGGCGCCCTGAACTTCTGTTTGGGGCCCGCCTCTTTCAAAACAGATGTGCTATGGAACATATTTAAAACAATATCGTTAAGCGGCAAGTAGCACCTTTGTAGCGCGTTTCTAAACACGTTCTGGTGAAAACGCAGTACTGTAATGATATTTATCTCAATTAGTTTCGAGCTCAACTCACGCAGTCAATGCGTTATCAAAGCAGTACATTTCTTTCTTTTCGGGTAGCCCCAGAGTGTAACACTCGTCCACGTCGCGACTGCCGTCATCATGACGCCGCGGTCTCGCCGATCTAGCGTCTAACGCCTTCATATAGAGCAGCCATGGCCATAACGGAGGGAGAATCTGCTAATGGCTGTCGTCAGCTGTTACGGACTAGAGGTGCCTCTTTTGAGCAGTTTTAACCCGCACATTGAGGGCCCGCGAACTTTAAGAGCGTTACCTGTACTGGAACACATGGTTTCAGTACGAATGAATGTTCGTGATTGATTCAGCGAGCGGCAAAGGCCATTTGCCAAAAAACGCATTGGCTCAAGTTTAAACCAGCGTGTCGCTATAGACCATGTAATAGCCACCGTGCTAAACGTCGTGGGGGCGAAAGCCACAGTATAATGTTTCATTGAATTTGCGTGATGTTAGTATCATATTTTGGTATCTTGTTCTCTTAAACAAGTGTTTCAAGTTTTGCAGCATCCACGACGCGAGCATTTCAATGAATTAGTGCATCGCGAGCGCTGCAAAGCGCATACGCTGAAAACGGCAAATCGAGAGCATTCCTTTCATAGACGTGAGTGGGGAATCCAATGAGATCTCTCCGCCGGAGCGGCTATTTCAAACAAAAGTCTGAGCTGTGCGGGAGGATTTCTGGAAAACTGGCAACGCAAATGAAATCAGACGTGTGATATAACAATAGGTGACGAGTGCAAAAAGGTAACAAACTCCCGCATGACCGCCGCGACATTTCAGTTTACCCGTTGACCACAGGGGTTCATCCAGTTGACCGGTCGCAGTTGACAGCAGGGGTTCATGACCCAGTCGCAGTTGACAGCAGGGGTTCATGACCCAGTCGCAGTTGACAGCAGGGGTTCATGATCCAGACGCAGTTGACCGCAAGGGCTCATGACCTAGCCGCAGTTGACCGCAGGGGCCCATGACCCAGCCGCAGTTGACCGCAGGGGCCCATGACCCAGCCGCAGTTGACCGCAGGGGTTCATGACCCAGTCGCAGTCGACCGTAAGGGTTCATGACCCAGTCGCAGTTGACCGCCGGGGCTCATGATCCAGTCGCAGTTGACCGCAGGGGCTCATGGCCCAGTCGCAGTTGACAGCAGGGGCTCATGACCCAGTCGCAGTTGACCGCAGGGGTTCATGACCCAGCCGCAGTTGACCGCAGGGGCTCATGACCCAGTCGCAGTTGACCGCAGGGGCTCATGGCCCAGTCGCAGTTGACCGCAGGGGCTCATGACCCAGTCGCAGTTGACCGCAGGGGTTCATGACCCAGTCGCAGCGGAGCGTGCCAAACGAACGCCCCGCCCGCTGTCCGTCGCAGCTTGGCGACCAAGCGTGCGCTGCTCGATCCGGTGCCGCACAGAGGCATGCTCAGACGCGTCTCCCAGCGTCCGCTGCTGCACGCAATGTGTTTGGCGAAGCGTTATACCTTCAGCTGTATTCCCGGTTCTATTTCTATAGTTACAATTGTTGTTGCTGTGAGATCACTGACTGCCCCGTATGGCTAGCTCCTGGGCTCGCCCCTGCCGCCGTGTTGGCCGCCCGGTCAGTGAAGGGCGAAGCTGTCTGTTGTTGAGTGGCGGTCGCACGCTCACCTGACTGGCGGCGAGGACCGGTGTCGTTCCGCACTTGCTACAGGACGAGACAGCGCGCTGACCAGCCCGGAGGCCCACACAGGATCGGCCGTCGGTAAGGTATGCCCTGTTTTGGCGCGTGCCAGCGCTAGGTCGGCACCGTCCGGCTGAGCGCGGTGTCTTGGTAAGAACTGCTGGAGCGGCCAGGTTCCAACTGTCGTGCTACATCCACCATATTGAAGTTTTCATTTTTAGACGAAGTGACATAATAACAAAGTGTATCATTCGGCTTCTGCGAAGGTACGCTTAAATACACGCTTGCTTTTGGGTATTTACTTTATGATTTAAGAGATCGCATCACGTGACCCTTCACACCCGTTAGCTTTTTTGACCTTGTGGGATTATTATGCAGCTATCTTAATTAAAGAAAATGTCTTCATTGGTGGAGTTATTCATATCATGTGAATACCTTTGGAAAAATAAAATGCAAACCCTTACAATACCGTGCGATGGAACTGTGCGATACAAACGACAGACTATTCCATGGGGCCAAATTTCGTACCAAGTCTAAAACGGTACTTTTTTAATTCATCATCATGCACCAATTCATTATTCCACGCCCGCGGATTTGGTCAAGTAGGCTTAAATATTTAAGCACAGCAAATGTGAGATCACGAAGAGGCACAAGGTGATGAAATTAAAAATGCTTCCTGGTTAGATATTGACAATTTTAATAGCCTTGCCGGCAAACTACGAGTCCTGCTCCTGTTCATGCATTTCCTTCCGGCATCTGACACGTGGGGCCAATCAAGTCCTTGTCTGTTAACGCTATCGTAAAGAGTGACTTCTGACTACGTTACTGGTTAGAAGGCCCGGATTGATAGCAATCTGTCACGTTTGCTGAGGGCGGCTCCATTGTTGGTAGTTAGTCGACCATTGAGCGGAAGTTAGATTGGTTTGATTTGAATTAGAGCCCTTTCGCCCAGTAGTGATAGTTGCAATGGCAATGGGGATTAAACAATTAAAAATGGCAAATAGAAGGAGAACGCTCTCACACTCTGCTGACAATAAGAATAAAAAGTGGTAGGCAAAACTACATGCATCTGGGATCCTCCGCCGAGATTTAGTCCGCACAGAGGCCCTATACGGCCTCTATTAGGCAAGGACTTGATTGGTCTCACATGTCAAATGCAGGAAAGAAATGCAGGAGCAGGAGGAGCAGGACTCGTGGTTTTCCGGCAAGGCTAATCAGATTGTCCGCACAGAGGCCCTGTACGGGGTATGTGGTCGGCACATTGACAGGATCCCAATCAAGGGGCACTTAAGCCCAATCATGACTGGCACATGCAGTCCGCATCGGATAAACGAGCGTTACAAAGATGCAGGACGAGGCCACTCATGGCTGGCACATGCAGTTTGCCTGAGATGAGCGGGGCTTTGCGGGGATGCAGGATGTGGCGTGAATGAGAAGGGAAGGGCGGATGGACGAGGTCATCGTGATGGTTAATCCAATATTGATTCTGACGCTCAAATACCAAGCCTCGTAGCCTCTCGAATAGACGGGTCAGCGAACCTTCACCAAGGGGCGGGGGGCATTGCGCTATAGACCGACCGGTCATCATACAGGCCGCATGGCTGTCCAGTGCTCTGATTTCAGCCGTGAAGCTTTTAAATCGATCAGTGACTTTGGCCGCGTTACGGTGCTGGGCACTTTTTAGAGAATGCATTGACGGATTATCTCTGGTGGGCTATAACGCGCGTGAAAATGATTAAAACGGAAAACGATGGGGAATAAAACGATCGATAATAACTGGCCACAAGTAGTAATCGATTTAATAGTAGATCGATAGTAACTGGCCCTCAGCAGTCCCATTGGCCAGTTAAGTCCCTGAGCATTCAGAAGAGAACGCCATCGGCCCGGAAGCTCCTCAGTAGCCAGAGAGACCCTCAGTAGCCAGAGAGACCCTCAGTGGTTGGCAGGACTTTCAACAGGTAAAACAGTTCATTAGCATCCGCAGGGTTCCTGGGCACACATAAGGCTGTAAGAGACCGTTTCGGCTCCTTAGAGACCAAAGGGAGCCTTTTAAAATGAAGTCCGAACCTTTTGAATGGATGGATTTCTGGGGTCGACGCCCATGCTGCGCAGGGCTTGTTGCATCAGCCCTGACCCCCACCATTTGATCGTGAAATTCCAGGTAGACGGCCGATTTTGGTGACGAGAGTTTAACATACACCAGTGCTAGCCATAGTTGGCCCTGCTCTCTGACGTCACCTGGCTTTTAGGCACCGAAGGCTTAAACACATCCATCCCCAAAACAAAAGATTTGACATGTGACACATGCGACGCATCACTGCCCCTGCCGCCACAAGCAAGCCGCGCACGCCGCGCCTGAATGCCCGGGGCCTGGTCGGTGGGGCAGCCCGGCCACGGTCGGTGTCGTTAAGCACCGGCTCGCCGGCGCCAGAGCCCTGCCACAGATCGCTCTGCGGCGCAACAAGCCGCGGTGATTGTCACGATCCGCCGACCGACGCATCGGCGTTCGCCGCAGCCCGCTGGCGCGTGGCCAAGCGGGCTGTCTAGCTGGCGTCAGCTCCCAGGCCGTCGAGCGCCGTCCAAGCCGCACTTCGGTCGCTCCCTATTTATAGGCGGCACGGAGCTGCGGTGGCCGCCAGGGCAGCCTCGGGACCGACACTCGCGCCCCGACGTTCGCTGCCCAGCGCGACCCGGTAAGCGGGTCCCGCCGGGTCAGCGGGGCGTTTCAGAGCCCGCCGGCGAGCGTGCTCGGCGCGGCGCGAGCAGCGGGACCGTCGTCGGCGCGCTGTTAGACGGTGCCCGGGCCGACGGCGTCCGCAGCTAGGCAGCGGGGACGTGAGTCAGGCGCGCCGGCAACGCGCAGCCGTCCCCCGCTGCCAAGAGCGCCGCCGGCAACGCTGGACGCTGCCGGCTGCCGGTGCCGCCAGAGGGCGCCGGTGACGAGCGGCTCGGCTGCGGCGGCGGTGACTCGTGAAGTGCTGCAGCCATGTTCCACCTCATGTACCAGTTCGTGGATAACATGGTAGGTGGCTGGGGGTTAGTGGTGCATGCGTAATTACGTCATGGGTTGAATGTGACAAACTGTTCCGCCAGATAGCCAAGTGCACGAAAAAGGCTTTACAGTGACACAGCGCAGGCCAACATGTGAAACATTTGCTGAAAAATTGACCATAGCCGGTGTGATTTTGCTAGGTGTCAGCACTACCCATTATATGAGCCAGGCCTCCGATCATGCGAAAAATAATTGCCTACTCACTATCTCCAAAGTAACAGCAGGGACTGGTGCACGCTACGAGCATGACTAATACCCATTGAGAATTCTTAGAACGTTTGAGCTGCGTTGCTCAGTTCATTCATCAGCCGTTTTACGAGAAGGCCGTTGATCGTGGCTCAGCGTGTTGGCCCAGCACTCATGGTGGTGGTGCTCAGTCATAAGCGTCGCCGCGGAGGCGCAGTGGAAACATTTGCCCGTGCTTAACTAAACCCGTTAAATCCGGGATTCCTCCTTAATCCAGACGAATGGGAATGGGTCATTGGGTTTTGACGGATCGCACGTGTTTTTGCCCGCCAATGTCAAAATTTTCCAATCAGCCGGTACATGGTGGCTTTAGTGTGGTTATGTACCAAAGCGCTCGGTCCTTACAAGCTCAACCCTTTCGGGCATTACCTTTTACCCTGGCTTTGGCACTTTTATGTTCTGCTATCCAATCCTTCGCCTTTGTTATTTTTCAACTTCTCCATGTGATGTATGTGTAAATTTAACAGCATTTCGATATACGCATTCAGCAGAAATCGACAACCACTTTGGATAAAGGCCAACTTGCTTTTGCCAACAACAGCTTCCGTAAAGCTGACAAGTTACGTGAAGATTTTAGGTAGGGCACCCAGAGGTTTGACCTCCAGGGATCAGAAAACGTCAACCATTTAGTATCGACAAACCATTAAGTATCTATTTTTTCACCTAATACATTATTTCTCTTCGCGTTCAGCACGGGAACGAACGAACTACGCATTGCGACCCTTTCGATTCCCTTTCAAACCGCTACAGGAGCAGCAGGTCTGGGATCAGAGTGACGTCTCTGGCCTTTTCGCGGGGCATCAGAAGCTGCGACTCTGGATTTCATCGACAACAGCGATGTTCGCCACTGTCAACTTCAAGATATCAAACCGCACACGCAAAGTCAACTGGCAGATTAAACCTGACCCAAACTCATTTTAAATAAATATGTGCCCAGGCCAATTCAAAGTTTTGACATGCGCTCGAGCGCTCGGATAGCGTGGTGTAGCGCGCCGCGCGGCCGCACCAAACTCTGTCTGACTGTAACCAATTAAACAGCCGATCTTTTCATATGCAAATTATATTTACGTTGCAAGGTCGCTTACCTATAGCAGGTCAAAGTCAGGTCATGGCTGTCAGCGAAGGCTAGGAATCGGTTAGCCTGGGGAATCGTTCCATGCGATGTGAGGGAATCGTTCAATGCGATGTGATAACGCAGTGTTAGACGAAGCCGGACATCTTTGTGAACGTTTCTTTGAACAATTGTACCACTAAATTTAGCGTTAGAAATAATTCCATTAACTTAAGGTGTATGTAGGTATGCGTTTGATTTAAAATTCCTCCATCATATGGCTCTTCCGAATTTGCGTCTAGTCCATTAATGCCAACACGACATAAAGTAAGCTCATCGCCCGATGCCTAACCAGTTAAATCAAAAAAGAAGTACACGATTTCTGTCAGAAGAAAAAACATAATGTGCGCGACAAAAAAAAAACACGAACATGTAAAGATAAAAATAGCATGCGAGCATGAGTGCGCATCAGCCACAAGACCGCCGCATCTCGAATCTCCGCCCAGCTGTTCACGTCCCTCATAGCACGCTTGAAGGCGAACAGTAAGCAACACTCATTTACATTGACCGGCAGCTTATTCCATGGTAATGATGCCCGGTATCAAAAGCCCCTCTGTGGGCACGCCAGCCGGCGTTTTTGCACCTCCAGCCGGCCTTCTTCCGTGGAGTCAGGGACACGGTGGGGTACCGGGGGCTTGGTGGTGAACATGCTGCGCAATGCGGGGGGCCCGTTCTGGTAGTTGAAAGTCTTATGGACTTCGGTGACGTCGTCGCGACTCGATTAACCGCTCCATTCGATCCCATCTCAGAGCCTGGAGTGCCGGACCAATGGTGTCCTGGCGTCACGTCACTGGCACAACCCTGGCGGCAAAACTGATAACTTTCTGGAACCTGTATAGTTGATTGTTGGCGGTGCCTCCTCCATATCGAAAGACAGTACAGAATGCAAGGAAGTGCGTGGGTTTCAACCAAAAACTTTAACATGTCCTGGGTGAAGTAATGCCGCAGGCGAAAGAGAGACATCAAAAGTGCATTGCACTTCTTGACCACAAGACTAATGTGCAAATCCCAGGACAGAACGGGATCGGTGACGTCACCGAGCGGCCGGACGAGCGAAAGGGTCACATGCGGGCATTGGTGACAGCTAACTGAAGGTTTTTCACCCTTTTTGTATTTTGCCTTCTTCCAATAAGAATGAAGTCAGCTTTTTGGGGGCCCATTTTGAGAGAGTTAGAGCGAAACCAGCTCTCCGTGGTCGCCAAAGTATGTTCAATTCGAGTCTGGAGAGCAGTGATATTTCAGTCATCTGCCTTCACTCGGTCCAACAACTGGGTGTCTGGCATGGCGGTCTGATACCTGGGGTCAGATATTAGTATCGGATCGAAGTCAAGTTTAATAACGGTGGGTGGTTTTTGACGATCATTTCTATTTCTGATCACAAGGAGGTGAACGAGTGTGTTATTTAAAGTTCTCATAGGTCAAAAGAGGTCACTGACCTAGAATGACCCTGATCAATTTTTTGTTTTTAGAATCATTTCGCCAAGGGTAATCCTCGACGCTTATTAAAATTGAAAAATCCAAACAATCTCGCGGGTTTTTGGTCACTGTAACCTTCTCAAGGTGAAATGAGGTCACTTACCCGACATGATCATCTTTTGCATAGTAGAGGTATCCAGGTTGAAGCTGGTTGCACAATGAAGTCTGAGAGAGCTTCGAACACCGATCTGGAGTTTGACCTTCTTTGACCATAATTGACCGGAAGGTCGTAATCTAGTTGTCTTAGAATTTGACACAATATTTCACACTCAGGTATATATCCATCCCATGAATTTAGCGCGTTCAGGTATCTAAGTTCTTGAGATCTTAGGGCTCAAAGTGCTCCTACCCTCACCCGAGCGGCGTTATATTCAACTGGCCACCCTGGGAGTGTTAAGACCGATATTTGTCTGTCGAATACAGCACACAATATCAGAAAGGCGTAGCTAGGCGAAGCGAGGCATGGTACAGACATTTGTTTAAAAGAGGTTTAGTATGATTTCAGCATGTTAGCGCACCCTGCCTTTCCAGCACGGTGTATTAAAATCGTCCTTGCCGAACATCGCTCTGGTATATGATGAATTCTAGAGGCCAAAGCCTTCGCTGTCCCGAGAAATGCCGAGAGATGTTTTCCCCACAACAGATGTTCCACGCTTGCAGCGATTTTAACACAAAATCAAAGGGGTCAAGATTTGCCAGATTGTAGGAGCCCGTCACAGCGCTCAAGTCAGTGAGAAATCCTGTGTCAGGTAGAAATTCCTCATTACCAGACATTCAGAAGTTTTTTTTAAATTAAGGGTCATTTAATGATGCTCTTGACACCATCCGGCTCAGCAATATATCCACTGTCTGTATAGTTATCGTTTATACCTGATGTTAAAAGTTCTGCAGTCTGATCATGTAGCCTGACTGACCTCAATCCTGGTTCGGTTGTCTGCTTGTTGCACATGAAAACTTGCATCCAGTTGGCAGGCATGTTACGCGCAGTCTTCCATCATAGATAGTTGGTTATGTTTCTTGATTTTTGCCGCTTACTCTTTAGGCGCCCTCCCCTCCCCTTCCCCCATACCGGCCACCACTTATGGTACGCGGAGACTTTCTCAATTATATTGCCGTTTAGGTTACTTGATTTTTTGGGGGCTTCTTCTCACTCTTAGGTAGCATTTGCCATGTTGGCCACCATTTATGTTACGCGCGGTATCTCCAGCTAAGTTGGCTAGGACGCTTGATTTTTTCCGTCTGCGTAACTCGTAGCACTGGCTCCTCATTTTTTACGTAATTTCGTCATGCTTACCCGACGGATTTCTCACCAACACCATACCGCAGTTACGTGATTCCCAAGGTCCAACTTGCATAAAAGCAACAAGCGCCGCGACTGACTCAATAATTTAGATGAAGCTCCTGTATGGCTTTGAAGTGATGTACTCGCACATGATGTGAAATGCACAATGTTATGCATACCTTTCTAGATATAGTGGCTATAATCGCCAATAATCAGCCTTACGAAAGAAAATCTCCTTGGGAATGGTAGTCTACAGCCAATAATCATATTTGCTTAGATTTAAGATACGTGTAATTGTTATTAGCGGCTAACGGCTAAATGATCCTCTGTATTCATCTACAGGTAATTACTACCGAGGCAATTCCCTGTCATAAACCAACTAACTGAGAAGACCGCAAATGGTAGCGAAAACATTGGCGCACCGACATTACATGGGCTTTTACGAAACAAATTGCTTTCATCCTAGCATGGGCAGCAAACGTCACTTTACTGGGATTCCGCAACTAGCATTCATACATTCACACCATCTCATGCATGCTCGTCACCGACCATAAAAAGAGAGCCCTATGGTGTGATCGCTATACACAGGCTGCGCATGTTACGCGCAACGATCAGACCCCTCATTTGTGAGCGGAATCTTACAGTCACACACCACTCATACCTCGGAATTTATCCGGCCCACACAGGAATTTATCCATCACACTTTGCAGCCACCTGGTGCAAGGCTCATCGTGGCATCAGCACGTAGCTCCCACCTTCTCTCGTCACGGAATAATGCCGGAATCCCTCATCGGTACGCCGGAATCCCTCATCGGCTCTGAGGAGTCATAATGCGAAGCCTCTAGGGCGCATATAGCCTCTGGTGATAAAAATCCTTTCATTACACTCGTGGAAAAATCACAGTCGCCTCAAGCTGCAGGCAGTATATGAGCTGTGCAATGTAATTGATTTGACGTATAATGTGGACCTGACTGCGACGCGTCATATCTCCCGGCACACAATTCAGGCAGCAGATTACTTATTGATCTGCCATTTTGTCTAGACTGTTCATTGAAACGCACAAACAATACCAGGTCGGGGTCAGCACGTCATTTGGAACACAAAGTAACGGCATAACTGTGTATTAGAAATGCTGATTACCATGATGCCATGCAAGCGTGAAAGGAATGCACGGCATACAGCTGATCAGAACAAAGTACAAGTACGTAAGCTCAACGTTCTTACAAAATGCATCTTTCCAATTGTCAATTGCCAAACAAGAAGAAAAAGGGGCCGGAGATCCAAGAATCACCCAAGGGTCGGCGGCTCCTCCGCCGGGTTTGCATTTTGGTGAGGTGTACGCACCGAGCGCCCGGCCGTCGACACCCCAGGCCGATAGGATTCCGAACACCGTGCCTGTCTCACTGTCTCAAACCCCTCGTACTGTCTGAACCTCCCTCTCTCTACTGGCTGAGTGTCTTAATCCGACGAGGTTGATGTTTCATAGAGCCGTCCACTACTGAGCTTCCTGGCGCGCATGTCCGGAACGAGCACTCGGGCCAAACGAAACAAACAAAAACCGTACTCGCACATTGAAAAAAAAACAATGTGACCCGCGGCGGATTGATACGCCGAGCGCCACAGGCACATTCGATTGAAAGAGGTTAGCGACTTTGGCTAGAGCTTGTCAGTTCGCCTCGCTTATCCAGACTCACAAGATATAGTCTATGCTGAATGCCGATCTGATATTCGAGGATCGCGAGGGTAACGAAACATAGAAACACGCATGAAAGATGCTTGGAAAGGAATCCCGTCTTCGACAACCAAAACTTTTTGCCTGTTCCGATCACAATTTTTTACTCGTGCTTGGGACCCCGCTCATTGCTATCGGATAGTTTCTTTCTTACGATACAAATAATGGTGCATTCGATACGTTAAAGAGTTGTATAAACCTGCAATCTGCATGCTAATCAAATTTCAAGGCAATCCGTCATTTAATTTTGCCTAAAATCAATAATACTGGACCATCTTGGACTTCGGCGGATCGTTTCCATATAAAGTAAAACCTCCCTAAATATGGTAGCTTTTTATCAAAGCTACCAAACAAGCTTTCTGCTTGATACAGTACAGGCGCATGTGACGGTGATACAACGCGTAGCTTTGCTTAATGTTGAGTGGCGGGCGCGGTAAGGTTGAGGTCGTCTAGAATAGAACAGTTTTTGTTGTTTATAAGCGACGAGGTGTTAGAGTTTTAATTTCGGTAGTTGGGCTTTTCTGGCTGTTATTAGGGTTTTATGCTGAAATCACTAGACCGTCACCCTTGTAAAGCGATTTTTTGAAAGTGCTCTGCTGGAAATAATTTTTGTAGTGTAGTGATTTCTGGACGCACACAACCGCTTTTAACGAGCATGCAAATTAGTATTAGGCATTTCTAACCTGCGTGCATCATGTTTGTGACAGTGATCTGTGTAGCAGCTCATCCTGTCTTCCTGGAGGAGTGTATTCCTTTCAACCCACACTAGACTCACCAAACCCACTTAAGGCAATGGGTGGATGTTGTGGAAAGGTATGTGGTATTAATAATACAAGTGCTGATTGCAGAATACCCCATAATTATGTACCTTGTTCACACATGCACATTGTCACACATAGTGGGGCAGAGCATGTCATGCTGTACAATTAGTGCTGCAACTGGTTTATCAGGGCATCAACCTGATTGTGTGGTTTTTGTCATTTTCATGATTATATTGTAAATGCTTAGCCTGCCAATAAGTTGTAAATTTAAGCTGTACAAATTAGTGAGCTAAAGCCTGTGTTGTTTTTGTTCAGTGAATAGCTTTTATTCTGTAACTCAAACATGCACTTCTAATTTTGTGCATCTAATGCTTGTGATATAATTGTTTTATGATAGTGTACCTTTTTGATCCATACAGGCTTTGACATTGCATTGTGATACATATGCTTTCATGCATATGCTGATGGTTACTAGCCTGTGACATTATAAGAGCTTGTTGAGTGATTGAGAGATTTTTACAGATGTGGTGCAAAAGGTTGTTAAAGGATCAGACATGCTGAGGAAAATATGTGGAAATTTTCATTAAATATGTATGAAATTATTTCATTAAATATGACCAAATTTCATTTCCTTTCATAAATTTCATTAAATATGTATGAAATCTTCATTAAATATGTGGAAATTTGCAGCAAGTATGTTTGAGGTTGCTGCATACTGCCCATATCCACTAAGTGTATGCCAACAATTTTCTCTGGCATACAGATACAGCATACAAACTAGCCATGAGGGTTACCATGTTACCAGGGGGGGGGGGGGGGAGGTGAATATGTGATAGGGGAATTTGTATAGGGATCCTTTCATATGGTATGATATGGTGTACAAGGCATTAAAGTCAATGTCAAAAGTGCAAGAGTGATGTTGTTTCTGGAATTAGTATTTACAACCATGGTGGGGTTGAAAAGCCCTTTTCAGAATGGTTTGCCCATTCTAGGAAAGTTAAATTGTTAGTTTTGTTTTGCGCAACCAATGGATTTCACCATGGGCCACCACAGATATGGTATACCACTGTTGTGGCATTGTCGCACGGCACCGCTTTCGCACGGTACATCACATGCGTCGTTGGTTCCTAAATGGGCAGGCAAATGTGTGAACTTTTGTTTACTTTGATTTATGTTTCAGCAACGCTTGGCGAAGGACGCGACAGAGGTGCTAAATTTAACCCGTAAGTGTCCATTTGTACCGGCTGTGCATATCAGTGTTTCATCGCCCTCATTCAGTTGAGTGTGCGCGACACCCATCAGATGTTCTCTGGCTGATTCTGGCCATATATGAGCAGCATCGTTAGCGCCGCAAGGGCTGTTCGTTGTGGTCTCTAGGCGTTTCTGCCCATTGGTGATGACAATTCGACATCAGGTCAAAACAAATTAGAGGCCTTAAATAAATGTGTTCAAGACATTGTCTCAGGGTACAATGCATTTCCACGTTCATAAGGGATAGCATGGTCATCACAGATAAATGAGTGGATATGTTCCCAGTAATGAGTTTTGATGGTGTTGACACTGTTCCAAATTTTTCCGCAGCTGCAGAGATGTCTGAACTTTTGAAAAAGTCCAACGTGCCCGTGATCTTCATGTTGGGTGAGTACAAGCATCGTGTGTGTTACAGCAACTATCAACAGGGCGGTCATGATTGTTGGTTAGACCGAGCATGGTTATGATTGACTAAGACGCGATGGAGGCTGGACGGGGAATGATCCAGAATATCGTGCTGCTACGCTGCAAGTGAGGGAGCCATATAATGTCCTCGTTTCTCTAATGGCTGAATGTTAAAGCTCCCTCCCGTGACGCCTTTTGTAGGCGTATATTATTGCGCAACGGGTCATGAGGTTTCGTAATGCATTCGGTTCGTTCCTTAGAGTACATTCGGAAATGGAGTGTTTCGTGTCGAGTTAAACGTCATAAATATGATACCATCGCAAGCCTGGGTTTTTGTGTCTCTAGAAGGACATGCACAGATATTCCAAGAGGCACGGAATAAGCCGTAAAAATAAGCCGTGGAACAGTAGCCAGCACCTGGTTTGTTGCGCTTTGTTGATAGAAAGTTGAATGATTTCTTTTGGCTGATTTCCTTGATGCACAGTCTGTAATCACATCTTCAAACCCTTTGTGAGGCAAAATTTATAACCTCAGCACCTTTCCGGCATGCCCTTCTCTTTATACACTTGGAGGGCAAAAACTGTTCACAAATTTGTTAACATATCTTGCAGTATAGTTTAGGGTATAGACGTGATATTTTGGACGTTGAAAGAAGGTATAGAAGGGAGCGTGCGTGCTTAAGGTTCAGCATAATCAGTCCCCCTTTTCTTTGCGTGACGGGCTCGGACACAAAGGCGTGCAATAGTACAGAATTAAGCAGTTTTGCCGGTTTTGGAGCACGTGAGCGATGGGGCCAACGCTAGCCGGAATCACAGTATTCAGCCTGTAGGTCCAGTGGTGGCTGGTGCTCCCTATGGTGTCAAATGACACCTCCTCCCGCGTGGCCGTGATGGCCTACTTCGGCTCGTCTAGACCGGGGAACTTCTGGTGGTGAGATCAGTACACTGCCTCCAACAGCGCATTCCAGACGCGGCAGTCTCGAGGATTGAGAACAGCGGAGTTTGGTGGACACTCGTGCTGTCTGACGAGTTGGCAGAGTTCGGCGGGGGACTCCTGAGTGGTCCAGTTGTGTGGGAGGGGAGCCGTCTTGCTGGGCAGTGGAGCCGGCTGGGTGGAGCCCTTCCCAGGTCGGTGGCAGCTTCTCGTCCAGCAGCCGAATGTACGAAACCCAGCGGTCTTTCTCGCTTTCGATGTTCGAAACGAAAAAAAAACTAGTTGTTCCGTTCCAGGTGACGTCGACGCTAACCATACATGGCTTTCTACAAAGGTCTCGGTTTCTCGTGGCACAGTCGATTTCCTGGGACCTCGCCCTTCTTGCCGCTTCCATAGACGCGGTTGTTCTGGACGTTCAACGACATGTGAATCGTGAGATGCCTCATCGGTGAAAAACACGCCCGTGACTTCTCGCCGCCAATCTTCTGGCATAAATCCCTGATCCGGGGCTTCCGTTTATGACACACGGCGCCTGCCATCGTTGACGTTCATCTTCATATATTTCAAGCTGGCCAGACCCTTCACTTCGCCATGTGGTCGTCGGATCTGGGTGTTCCGGGGCTTCTGCTGCCCGACCTTCTGGCGCAGGAGTTCTCCTCTTTACCCTCAAGTTTCTGGATAATCCGGTTCATAATTTGTTTTGTCCTTTGACGCTCTGGAAAGTCGGCCACAACACGAGCGTCTCGCCTGCCTTTTTTGGTCGAGTTGGACCTCGATAGGATGGCGCATCTTCTCCTGAGAATCATTATTACGTTGCTCAACAAACTCACTTGCTTACAAACAAACTTACTATGTGGAACCACAAGCTGGCAAGCAGCATTCAGAAATGTCTTCAAATGGTCTCAGTATCCAGCTAAATCATCCGAAAACATGCGTCAAAATGTGTTATGCGCATAGGAAGGTTGGTTGATAGGGAGTCTGAAAAGGGGACACCCACATCATAATATGGCTTCGTGAATTCGCGAGGATCACCGAACAATGGAAAAGGTAGCCAATTTTTTTCCAAAGAACTATTTTCGTTCCAATTCATTACTCTGACCCCGCCTTAGTTGTTGTGCCGTCTTTTGGGGAGTAATTGTGTTATCGAACCCGCAAAATTACTAATCCATAAGGACGTGCTATTGTGTATATATATATATATATATATATATATATATATATATATATATTTATATATTGTGTGTATTATGCATACACATCGTAGCAAAATACCAGGTTACTTTGAAGAGCCCATTATTGAGCACGTGATTTATAAACAAATGTAGAAAGGCGTACGTCATTGTCTTGCCTGCTATAATCCTCGTGTATGTTGCTTGCTACCTGTTAGCTCGCCTCGACTGAATCAGCGTCCGCGTTTTGAGTGTGCGAGTGGGTGGTACCTGAGTGGGCAGGGCAGGTGCCCATCCCCCTTCACACACACATGCTTAAATGTATTGTATGTAATTTGCTTGTGAATGCAGGGTGGCAGTACAATTCGGGGCAAGCGAGTAAAGCCAAACAAATTGGTACTTTCAACGGGTGGACCACGTCTGAACGTAGACAACTTCATGAGATACCCGCACCTCTCCCTGTGGGCGCACAGCACATCATCAAAGCATTCAGCTGTGGGCCTTGAAACGATGTTCACCTATCAGTTCAAAGTTGGGTTAGCAAAAATATCTAAAGGCCCGACAGTGTCTGCGCCGCACAGGTAAGTTGGACTCCTTATCCGAATTGTTCCTACTGCATAGAGGCAAAACGTACACAAACGATTGCAAGTCTTTCGCCCTGGCTTAAAAAACCGGACTGCAAGAAGTGACCTGGCAGACGCGCTGTCGCCCCGAGCATTGTGACGTCATTGGTATGGGTAGTGAGGGCGGCGCTGTGCTGGGATCATGGCAGCGGTGTGTGGCCACGCCGGCAGGCGGCCCCGGCAGCGGCAAGGGCACCCAGTGCGAGAAGATCGCGGAAAAGTACGGCTTCACGCACCTGTCTTCGGGCGACCTGCTGCGCGCCGAGGTCGACTCTGGCTCCGACCTCGGCAAGCAGATGAAGGAGACCATGGACGCCGGCGACCTAGTGCCCATGGTCAGTGGCGGGGAGCCTCCGCGGCAGCCGTCCAGTGACCAATGGAACGAGTGCATGGTCGTTGACATTAGGCACTCCATCAAGCCCACCTCTTAAGCCCGTCTAGTCACTGTCCTCCGTGTGGCAGGGAAACTGTGCTGCGCCTGATCCGAGAGGGGATGGTGCTGAAGCTGGAGAACAGCAAGGGCTTCCTCATCGACGGCTACCCGCGGGAGGTGGACCAAGCAGTCAAGTTTGAGAGCAGGTGAGCTGTGGTGACAGATGACCCTCGGCTCTGTGTTGGCTTTCGCCCCTGTGATCCCGGCTCTCTGTCGGCTGTCGCCCCTGGTGATCCCGGCTCTGTATCGGCTGTGATCCCGGCTCTGTACCGGCGTGACTGCTGTGACCTCCGGTTATGTGTCGGCTGTGACCTCTACGATGCCCGGCTCTGTGTCGGCCTGTGATCCTAGGACGCCGGCTCTGCGTCGCGCCGCGCGCGGTGCCAGCATGCCTGACCTCTGGCTGGCCGCAGGTGTGCCCCTGCTCGCTGGTGCTCTACTTCGAGGTGTCAGACGCCCTGATGACAGAGCGCCTGCTGAAGCGGGGCGAGACGTCCGGCCGCTCCGATGACAACGCCGAGACCATCAAGAAGCGGCTCGAGACGTTCCATAGCGTCACCGAGCCGGTGGTGACACATTTTGACCAGCGCCTGCAAGCGGGTGAGAGACCAGCGCCGGGCAGGGGCGGTCGGCGGCATGGTGCTGCGCCCACCGGACGGGGCGTGGCCGGCAGTCGGGGCTATCCAGGCGGAGGTTTGTCGTGGTTGTGTGTTGTAGCGATCGCACGTGTTGGCTGGCAGCTTCCTTGCCTGAATGATACGCCATACCCCATACTGGTTCGCTCGATTTCACTGTTGCCCCTAGCCACGTATCAACATGTACACGGGCACTGCACGATGAGGAGTCCAGTACACTTTATCGCTGGCTGAAAGTCGGTTATATGTCACATGGTAGATAATTAATGTGTGGCATCCTTCCCATATGTAAGCTGCATGGTACACAAATGAGGTTATGACACCCTTCCCACATGTAAGGCGCACACGCACTTTGAGTGGCACAAGCTTGTGAATAGCATCGTTTCTAGATGCCTTTCGATGTCTCACAGTGCAAGTGGGTGTATAAATGGTAGTTTGTACGGAGCCGAGAACGAGGTGAGCCATTTATGTGTAGCGAGAACGGTAGCGATTTCGTTTTTGCGACGCTTTGTTTTCAATGCATGTTTTAAAAATACAAATTCATATATGTGTAACTTTAAGCTACAAATGCACTTCAAGTGTAGCAGATAGCACATTCATTTGTATGCCAGGTAGTCATAAATCTGCTGCAATAAGTGGCGCAATTGTAACTTATTACTTCCTGTGTGACATTTAAGAGTATCACATGACAGAGTCCAGTTTCCACGCGTTGGCAGATTTTGTATTTGCATTTGAGCAGCTCGCTTGGCGAAAAAGGCAGCTGGCGGCAAAGTGCTGCGTGGGACAGCGTGATTTTGTTCGCACTAAACAAGTTACTTTCCTCTCAACGGCGCCGGTATGTAACGATGATTTTACGTCCGCTCGTACATTAAGCTTTTACGGTACCGCGTGATGAATCGTGTGTACTGGCGGTGTAGAAGTGGGCTGTGCCATCCGTCTACTTATAAACCGGCCATTTGTGTAGCGGCTCGTTCAGTACTTTTTGTTAGGTCGCACTTTTGACAAACGACATTATGATGGTATGTTATGACCGCTTTCATTTTGAGTGGTTATCTTAACCCGACAAGAGAAGTTATCTTGCGGTCAGCCCATGTTAGACACTGGGACCATTCTGATTCTGCCCACACCACACGCGTAACGGTGAGATGGCATTTGAAGCCGAAACGTCCGAAAACCAACAACTACACTTACGATCACGTAACCACATAACCAACACCGCACCGTGTAACGACTGGCCGCCCGTCGGCCGGTGATGACCGCAGATAAACGGCGAGCGGGCCGTGGACGAGATCTTCGAGGACGTCTGCAAGGAGCTGGACGCCCTGTGCAGCGCGCCGGCCGAGTGAGACGGCCGGAGCCTGCTCGGCCGAGTGTGGACTGCGCGGCGCGCTGGCCGCCCGGTGATAACGCGTGTTCAAAAGTTGGTCAGCCAGGCTGTCGGGCGCTGACCCGGGCGCTGGTGAGACCCGCGGTCGGATGGGTTGCCAGTGGGTAGCGTAGGAGCGCCGGGCCCGCCTTTCCCGTCGCTGGCGTGAACGCTGGTAAGGTGTAAGGAAAGTTTAACGCAGTTTTAGCGGTTTGTCTCGTCCGCACACAGTGAATCTCACGAGTGGCTTCCGTGTCGTAAAATCTACGTTTTCTGTGACTTCTGATGGTGGCTGTTACAAACTTGTCTGTGGGTACGCGGTGGAAATGGATGGCCTTGACGTCATAAAATTCACGTTTGCTGTGAGCCCGCTCGGAGGCGATGTCACAAACTTGTATCCTACAGTTGATACGATAACTTTTATACGGATAAGCGGGCACGATAGGCGAAAAGGCGCAAACACCCAAAACCCTGTGCTATGTTCAGATGACTGTTTTTGTTGCATACCGCAGCGCACGCATGCTAGTCAGGGTCACGCAGGGTCATGAATTCTAGTCTGTTCAGCTTCTCTGCGCGTGTTACGGCTGCGTCTTACGGTGCGCGACGCTGCATGTTCCGTTTCTCTGGTTCGATTGTTCTGTTCTGAGACATAAATGCATGGAGCGATTGCACACGTGTGTCGCCTGTATTGTGCGCCCGGTCGGGACGCCACTCAGAGCCAGTCGCTCACTGCCACTCCCACTACTCGCTGCACCAAATAGACTCGCTCCGCCCACTTACATGGCCTTCAGCTCCGCCAGCAGCTGCTGCTTCTCAGCGAAGTAGTCCCTGAACCAGACGATGTGTTCGCGCTTCTCCTCGACCGAGAGCCACGGGTTCTTGCCGAGCGCCACGCACACGAGTTCCATGAAGTGGCGGAGGGGGCCGCGCTGGGGACACCACGGCTCCAGGTGGCGCTCCAGGAACACGTGCTCGTGGAAGCCGACGGCCGCCTCCGCCTCCAGTCCTGGGGGACGAGGGGGCCGTCAGCGGGCTGAGTCAGCTCCGTGGAGGCTGCCGGGCGAGGGCGTCCTAAGAGCCTGGCTGCGGCGACGACAGGACGCTTGTGGTCGTGGCGGCACCGCGTCAATCTCAAGCGATCAGTGCGATGCAACAGCTAAAGCGGCCATACAAAGGTTCGCAGGCTTCACAAACAATGCTCACGCCGCTTACGGAGGGGAGACGCCCGTCGTGGCTGAAATGCCCCGGCGTTTGCCTGGTAAGCGCGCCCTGGCAATGAGCCCGGTTCCTGAACGCTTCCCTCATCGATAGGTTCCCGGCCGACCATAAGCCCGGGATGGGCATTCAAACAGCGTGACCATGGGCCGGCGCAGCCGGCAACAGCACACACCCACCCTGTTCGTTGTCGACGGGCAGGTGCCACAGTTTGCCCTGCTCGGTCCACAGGATCATCTCCTGCCAGGCGTTGGCCGGCGGGTGGGTGACGGCCAGCCGCAACTCCCGCTCGTGCAGCCGCTCCCACTGACTGGCGGCACCGGTTGGCACCAGCTCTGCGCACCCGGCGGCCAACACAGCCCACACGTGTCAAAGGCCAGCTTGGGGCGCAACATTTGCACCAGCGCACTTCACACTCACAGTGTTCAGCAGGCGGCATCAACACAGATCCAAGATGGCCGTCCCGTCTGTGATTCTCTCAGAAGCCCGTATCTGTATCATCCGGTGTACGGATTCCCTCAGAATCCGGACACCGGCCTGAGCGAGTCCTTTACAGCAGGTCAAGTCAGCATACCACTGTATGGGGGCGTGAGAGCAATACAGCGGATGCCGTTGTGCAACGAGCTATGGTTATACATGAGTTTCTTGCTCCTTACAACAACCTCTGGCATGCATTGATCAGGTGGAGTCTGTGTGCTTACTGATGTAGGTTCAACAAATCATGGCCTAAATCATGGCCTGTCACGTTACTGTAACACTTGAATTGCTATGCAGTCGTATGTTTCGTGCCTTGAAATCTGTGAAATCTGTGAATGTTAAAAGGCCCCACATACAAGCACCCGCTGATTCAATACCGCAAGTTTCGATAAACAAGCCTTTCCGGGCACGCAGTTATACTGCAGGGTGATCGGCACCTCAGGGAACAGCAATAGTCGTGTTGAAGCCCTGCGCCTGCGGCCGGCGGCGCGCGGCCGTCGCTGTCGCGCTCACCGCTGGCGCCGACCCGCCCCTGGTCGGTGAAGATGCCGAGCGCGTCGCCCGTGTACAGCACGTGTCAGCAGTCGTCGGGAGGCGAGTGCCGCTCGGACGGCGCCGCTGCTGGCCGGGCGTCTCAGCCCGCTCGCGGCGGACCCGGCCCACAGCGTCGGCGCGCCGCTCGCCCACCAGGTGACGCACCTGCTGCGAGCGGCCCGGTGCCGGCCGCTGGTCCACCTTCATACCGGACATCAGCTCACTGCCGGCACGGCGGCGGGCTGGGTGAGCGCGTGCGCTTCATCAGCTCACTGGAAGTGGCACGTGAAGGATGAACCGAATGTTAACCAGATATCATCTCACTGAGGGTGGTGGCGTGCGGGATAATCTTATAATTAACCAGGCATTACCTCATCGGAGACGGCTGTGGATGGGGTGAGGATATCGACCAGACATTCAACGCGGCGTGGACGGTGGCGTGCGGCACGAGCATACATCTCACTGCCGCCGAACATCAGCTTCTGGCTGAGAACAGTATGCAAGTAATGAATTCGTCTTATCCGCCCAACGAGATCGGCCCCTGCGGGATGAGTTGCCATCCTTCCACAACTTGCCAAGGAAATGCATGACGCGGGCTGCATGAAGACAGAACAATGGTTGAGGAGCACCGGCTGGACACTTCATTTCCACATCACGGATGGAGCCGATCCTGGGCCGCGCCCGGACCTAGACCAGACCCTCTCCGTACCCCATCTATGGCCAACCCTGGTCCCAAAAATAAGGCCGACTCTCCTGTGCGTGGGTTGTGGCCAAGCGCGGTCCATACCTAAACCTATACACGAGAGTGGTCCGTGCCTGAGCTGGCAAGGGGCGGCGGCCGGGAGGGACCGCTGGAGTCCGCTGGCCGGCGGCAGCGCCGTTGGCCCGGCGTAGGCGCCCAAGCCACGCCTGGTCCTGGTCCGTAACCTGGGTCGGCTCCTTTACGTGCCTGAGGTTGACATTGATCCAGAGACCACATATGAGCTGATGCCATTCCTGGCCCAGTTCTGAGGTTGGCCTTGAATCGTGCCATTCCTAGCCCGTCGCTGAGTTCCGATCGGTCTTGAGCCGCACCGGAGCTGCCTCTGTTGATCCGCCTGAGCTCCGATCGGTCCTGACCCGTACCGGAGCTGGTTCTGATGACCTACCTGAGCTCCGATCGGTCCTGACCCGCACCGGAGCTGGTTCTGATGACCTACCTGAGCTGCGGCCGGTCCTGACCCGCACCAGAGCTGATTCTGATGATCTGCCTGGGCTGCGGCCGGTCCTGACCCGCACCAGAGCTGATTCTGATGACCTACCTGAGCTGCGGCCGGTCCTGACCCGCACCAGAGCTGATTCTGATGATCCACCTGAGCTGCGGGCGGTCCTGACCCGCACCGGAGCTGGTTCTGATGACCTACCTGAGCTGCGGCCGGTCGGCCGACGCCCCGTCCTCCCCATTGAGCTTGAACAGCAGCTCGGCCTCGGTGCGCGCCGTGTCTCCGCCGAGCGAGGAGGCGACGTCGCGAGCCGCCTGCGCCACCTCCTCGTCTGCGACACGTGTGTGGAGTCAGTCACCCCCATCAACATCAGCAGCACATGCTCGACTGGCCACCAGCCGCAGATTTCATAAAGCAGTGCATGCTTAAGCACTCACAAACAAGTGTTTGCCTGCACCCCCACAACATCTGATAATATAGAACAAAGCAATTTCTTGCTCCAGCTGATTTTCTCGCTGTTGCGCTGTTTTTACACTTCTGCTTTTGGGTAGACAAGCTGTTAATTCTTGTGAATTGACTTGCTTTCAAGTCAGGACTTCCAAAATGTATTCTGATTGGACCAGCATATCATGCAACCTGAACCCTTCAGATAATTTCAACATGACACATCTGGTCAGTGCAGTACAATCCAAGACCTGGCAGTGATACACAGGGCCAGTCTACATCACATCACCTCCACGCCAAGGGACCCAGGCCTGCACCTTGTCAGTCAGCTCAGCCCCCTCCCATAGGCACCACCACAAATCCCCTGGAATGCAGCATCACACTCACCCAGGGTTAGCTGTTTGACTGGCGGAGGCTGCGTGGGAGCAGCAGCAGAAGCAGCAGAGGCAGGGGCAGGCCGGTCTGGCCGTGCCACCACGTGCCGGGGCCGCGGCTGGCGGCCTGGTCGCGCCAGTCGGCCGGACACGCCACCATCCTTGTCACTGGGCACTGCTGATGTCTGGTGGACATGGCATGGCCAAGCCCCATCAGGAGCTGATGGTGACATACACTCAATGACATGGCTGGTATCTGACATGGGCTTGCAATGAAATCTACTCCCTTGAATCCTGATACTGCTTCTTAAAGCACATGTACTTACAAACCGAGCCTCTATCATTCAAGGCATCAGTATGACCTTGCTCCAGGTACAGCAGGAAAGGGTATCTCAACCAGAAAGAATGTGATCTAGTTGAGAGTATAGCACTGTGCTACCCTGCTGGTTTACATCAGCCACCTTCCATACCAGGAGCAAAAAAGCAAGCTCCAGCACCCCAATCTGTTCTACATCAAATGTATAACAGACAGAGCATGATAGCCATGGTGATAAATGGATAACTAGACCTGGCCAAGGAAGGCTTTTACCAGCAGAGTCCTTGATGATCACAAGCAGCTGTTGCATGAAAGTAGTCAGGCCTGGGGCACAAGAATGTGGGTAGCTGCTGGAGTATCTGCACAGAAAATAACTGCAACTTCCTGCTTGTCCACAGGGCCCTAGCCCTGACTGCCAACTAGCATAAAACTTAATGTAGTTGGACTAAACCATGCTGATGACATAATGATATATATATATATATAATATATATGTATATATATACATATATATACATACATATATATATATATACATATATATATATATACATATATATATATATATGCATATATATATATATATATATATATATATATATATATATATATATATATAAGTGGAAAACTAGCATCTAAATAATCTGTCAGCATCTAGTAAGGCAAATAATACACACCTTTTCTACAAGAAATACATATGAAGATCCCCACTCACTTTATATAAGCCATGGCAAAAATTAAAAAAATAGGTCTGTGAACCTCTTTCCCTGCAATATAACAGTACCTTCTGAATGGACTCAAGCAAATCATTGAGCTTGAGCTTAGCTGCTTTTCTTTTTTCTTCAGCTTTAGCTTTTATCTTGGCTTTGTTTTCACTATCTTCAGAAGCATCATTGCCAGTAGAGCAATATTGTTTGTCACCAATAACTTGTCTTCTTGCACCTCTCAAACTGGTTAAAAAAAAACACAACACAAGACCTATTAGAAGACTGACAATGCACTATCAGAAACAGCATAAGAACAAACACTCATAAGCAAAAATGCACATTGATTGAAAACTAGGCAAGACATCTTGCATAGGTCAGGGTGTACTTTCCTACCTAACATTAGAAAAAATAATTGTACACCATTCATCGTGTTTAAGGCAGGACATATCGTAAATAATCTCAAAACAGGTAGAATCATGCTCCTACCTTCGAATTTCAATAACTTCGATAGCGGGCCCCCGAGCGCCGCGCGCACCGCACCGCCTCGACTCCCCAGTGCCGTTTCTGCATTGCCGTTGCGTAAATACAATATTTCTGCTTACCAAGAACTCTACAAAATGTACGGGACTAAAGTAAACCATTTGTCATGTTTAAGGCAGGACATCTCGTAAATAATCACAGAACAGGTAGATTCATGATCTTACCTTCAATTTTTTATAATTACGATGGCGAGCTCCCGAGTGCCGCAGATTCTACCTGTTTTGAGACTATTTACAATGTGTGCCGCCTTAAACACGACGAATGGTGAGCAATGATTTTTTCTAATGTTAGGTAGGAAAGTACACCTACACCCTTGCATATAACTGGCTTTTTCTGAACATATATGTCACCACATACAACAGTGCATTCTCAACCATGTATGATTAGTGCGTTCAAAAACATATCACACTCGACATCAAGAACCATCCAGACTGGACCTTACACTATACAAGTGGTGATTTTTCACCATTTTCAAAAGAACAATCACCTAAATTGCAAAGAAGCAGTTGCCTACGAATATCATTGCTTTTCATGACAACTTATACTATCATCTGAAAGTTCACTGTTGCTGGTATGTGTAGGACACCAGGTACTCCTCCAAAGCTAATATCACTGAAGCTCTTACCTGGCAGACCCCAGCGATGGTAAGGTTCTCCCGAATCGACGAAGAACAAACGCCATGGCATATAAATGTGAAAAATCAAACAGTGCCAGGTCAGAAAAACTGATTTCACTTAAGCAACCATTTCATCGCCATGAGAACACAAATCTCTCCCCGTTGTAGGCGGTCCGGGCCTCACACCCACCAAACACGCCGCCCGCCTCTCAAGCCCAAGGCCGTATAAGAGTGGTAAAACCGTCCGGCGATTCTCGCATCTTCGCCTTAGCGTGACGTCATTGGCTCAAGGACTTAAATGGTCGATGGGAATCTAGACGAGGTGCTGAGATCCAACCGGCCGTCGAAATATTAGTACAAATATTGGAAAAGCTGCTGACGTTTGGTGTATATAACACGCGAGCTGACTACATGCACTTTTATAGCGAGGATGGTCATGTGATTTGCAAGCATATGCGGTGAAGCTTTCAGATTCAATGGCGTGAAAAGTGAAGATGTATGGGCGACGCTTATTCGGAATAGGGAGGCAGGAACATCGGGCTGTCTTCGCACCCAGAACGAACAAACTGATAGTGGCATACGCATTTGAATAGCAAACCCATTGCGTCAAATTTAACGACGAGCATGATAATGTACATGGCAACTTTAAGCAGCAAGCCATTACAATGTTTTTTTTCAGAGTCGTGCGGCCCTGTACCCCGTTGTCGCGCCGCTGTCAGTGTACGATGGGCCAGATTGACCTCAAAAGTGATATTAATTCAGTGAATGAAGATTAATTCTATAGCCTGTGTCAAACCAATTGTCCATGCATAATCCTAATCTGCACTCCATTTTTGTTGTATGAAAAGGTCAAACTTCCGACTTGTTTTTGGTTCAAGTTGAGGCTACTGACCTGTTATGATATTTCAGCCAGCTAATTGGAATTAATTTCGTGTGTGAGGTATTTTTTGCGGGTTGAACTTGAGAAGAGCATTATTTTCTAACTACTGATGATCAAAACAATTACTTAGCACATTTGTATGTGGCGCAAGAAGTCAATCAGATCTTGCACGTTGATCCTTACTTGTCTAGTCGAAATCAGTATCGCTGGTGTCGTAGTCTACTATACATGACCTGGCTCTGGGAGGGCCGTGTTGTAGAATGGCGAATGCCTCTTCCGACAGCGCCGTTTTGCCCTTGGAAGTTCTTTGACTACGTGCACTGACCGCCGACGAGCTGGTCACGGGACCACTGATGGTGACCAGCATGTATCCAATCTGGTCGGCGATGTTATGCATGCATTATTTAGCGTGTCCCACATAGTACGCTTGTACGTCCTTATTGCGAGACTCTTGTGCTTCTTCGCTGGAGAGTTCGAGTGGCATCGGCAGTGCGTTAATGACGGCTGGCTCATCGAGAAGTACTCGGTGCGCAGACACGGGCGCTGGATGCCACGAAGGGAGGTATATATGCAGTTCGGCTGTTCCATGGCAGGAGGCACCTAGTTTCTCACCGTCTTTTTGGTATCCGGATGCCATGGATTGTAAAAGGCAGTGTGCAGCTGTCGAATTAGGCACTCGTCGATCCCGATGATCTCAGCAAAGACCGCTTCCTTTGCGAAGGTCAGCCGGGCTGTATTGCCAGGGGCTGTATTGTTTGAGGGCCATTTCCTGCAACTCTCAGGTGGTCTACATGAAAATGGAGTCTTTCCCAAAACGCTGCTTATCTTGCTTTTGTCTTCTGTTGCACCTGCTCCTTTTGTCCTTTGACCTGGTCTACCACTTCTGTAGCTCAAGACGATAGGTGATGGGGAGCATGCACTCAAAAACCCTTATCCATGCGTGCAGAGTGCTGACACCAAATTGCAAGTGGTTTTTGCTGACTCCAAGTTGCCGGACGTGCTGCAGATCGTTCATGACCTTTGGCGCTGCCTTGCAGAGAAGACATCGTTGCAATGAGCCAATTTCCGTCATTGCACTTGCCACCTTGCGTCGGTCATGGTCTCGCGCGAGGAAAGGTCCACCTTCATGGCGAAGCGCTCGAGGTGCATCTCCTGCTGGGTGAGGTTTTTGATCTGCTAGGTCCAGTAGACTGATTCCGACCTGCCCAGTTCGGCAGTCTTGCGGAAGTAGCCCAGCTTTATCGGCCGAAGAACATGATGGGCCGCGGGCATGCCGTGCTCGTTCTGCACCTGTCTTCGACCCTATCGTGCTCGAGACTAACTGTCCACGTCGCTGCCGTGCTCGGGACGTACCTGTCCACGTCGCTGCTGTGATCGGAACGTGCCTGTTCACGCCGCTCTCGTGCTCGTTCCGTGCCTGTCGTGCTCGTTCCGTCGCTGCCGTGCTCTGGACGTCAAAAACGGCAGCGTCATAAACCACGGTGCGCATTTCCACAAACGGCAGTGTTCGGCCCGTGCCCTTATGCACAGCTACCATGTTCGGTCCGTGCCCGCATGCACAGCTACCGTGCTCGGTCCGTGTCCGTATGCACAGCTACCGTGCTCGGTCCGTGCCCTATGCACAGCTACCGTGCTCGGTCTGTGCCCTTACGCACAGGTACCGTGCTCGGTCCATGCCCGTATGCACAGCTACCGTGCTCGGTCCGTGCCTATTAATGTTCTGCCGTGCCCGGTCTCCACCTGTCTGCGGGGCCAGCCGCATTCGGACCGTACCTATGCGCGGGGCTGACAGTGCTCGGTTCTCACCTGTCTGCATAGTCATCACGGGTGTCGAGCCACGTATGTTGCGTCGTTAAGACGTTTATCTGCCTGTGCCTGTTTAACGCCAATGTAGCATGTCGGTAGAATTATCGACAGCCAAACTGGGGTACTGACCCAATATTTGCCTGTGATACCGTTATTCGTAGCCCATGCTATGTTAACTACACAAATTATCAATTTCTGTGCGATTCATACGACAGCCAGTGGGCTCGAATAATTGCATTTTCTTCACCCCTCAGCATAGTTTGTTTGGCCATGGTCATTCAAGAGCCGCGATGACATGAATCCATAGACGTGGTGTCACCTCATGTACTTTCGGGGGCCTGAGTTCCCTCCCCCGACGTCGACCTAAGCCCATTAATGCTGCTCGAGCATCCCCCCTGAATCCATATGTGAAAATAGGAATACTGGCCAATGAAATGCACCAAGCGTCTGAACTGCTGGTGCATCAGGTACCTAAGCGCATCACTATCAATATCATGTCATCAATTATTTACATATACATACATACGTATATATATATATATATATATATATATATACATATATTATATATATATATATATATATATATATATGTGTGTGTGTGTGTGTGGGTGTGGGTGTGGGGTGTGGTGTGGGTGTGGGTGTGGGTGTGGGTGTGGGGGGTGTGTGTGTGTGTGTGTGTGTGTGTGTGTGTGTGTGTGTGTGTGTGTGTGTGTTGGTGTGTGTGTGTGGGTGTGTGTGGGTGTGTGTGTGTGTGTGTGTGTGTGTGTGTGTGGTGTGTGTGTGTGTGTGTGTGGTGGTGCACATATCATTTAACATTCCTTAACATCGAAACAATTCTGAAACAGAAAAAAATCTTTTTGGTCGCATTTTAAATCTAACGAACGCAAAACAAAGTGACAGAAATCCCGGAAAAGTAAGAATCTGCGAGTCGGTTAGGTCAAATTTATTGTCCCAGCCCACCGCCCCAAAGGATTTTGGAGAGTGATATCCCCTGACCGCAGACCGGCATGTTTACAATCCCTGATGAGCAGCACGTGCGGTCGTGTGAACCTCGCTCACGGCTGACTGTGTTTTGGCGTCTGCCGCTGCTTTTCAGTCCTGTCCCTACTTGTCGCTACTTGTTCAGTTCCACACGAGATAACTGTAGGAGCCTTATGGCCGACAATGTAATTAGCTCGTCGGCGGATTATAAGGCGGTCCGAAAAAAAACACTCCTTATCACGCGTGAAGCGTGCGAATGGCTGGCCTCGATAGCGCTGCTGTAGCTTAATCGGCATACAATTGCAACAAACTTGTCCGAATCCAGCATCCATTGCACATAGTCAACCCCCCCCCCCCCTTTATCTCACTGAACGCCAGCGTGATTGCAGCAGCGGCGATTGAAAAGTTACGGCGTAAAACCCAAAGTGCACGCAGTCGTGCGCGACGGAGGCGACCATGCGCATGATGCCATGGAAACACTGTGAGCCGGAAATGTGAACTGCTGATGGGGCAACACGACCCTTTTCCAAATAACACCTTCACAGAACATGTTAAACTGCGGCCTTTGGGCCCGTAGCGTGATAACCAGTATGCACTGACGAAGGAAATATTTAGAACCCGCCTCAGACCAACCCTGACAATGGTTGGTCGGCCCGCCGCGATGATTTTCAAAGTGACAGCATCAAATGTAAAATACTATTAGTCTTGTGTGGCGGATGTAACCATGTGCAAACGATACCCTTGTGGTGGCAATATTGGCCGGCAGCGCAAACCCATCGAACGACCTTTGATCTTTTTGGTTCAAATCGCCTATTGACGGCACATTTCTAACTGAGGCGGGTCTTTCCGAAACATTATGGACAGATACGTCGGCACGGGATATCACTTATAACATGCGCGAAGAGTGCGACTGCTCGCAATGTGCATTTGGACGTGCAACGGACGTGCATTTGGACATATAACGTGCAACGTGTCCTGGAGGGCTGTCAGACTCCAGGGCAACAAGCTTGTCATTTAAGGCATCCACTTTTTTAAGTTGGCCACCATAGTGCCTCACGCAACGGTAACGTGCTATCCGCCGGGGCGATTTCCAAACTTAGATATAGTTTAGGCGTTGTGAGGCACTAGAGAGTGGACCGCACACAACGGGTGACGTAATCGGACAGGTGCGTGATAATGACAACTGATAGCCATGTACCAGCACTATCGAATGCACAGAGTCGCACATTTCGCGACGATTTGAGTATGATTGCCGGACCACCATATTCTTGTCCATCACGCTACGGAACGGACCTCCGCAAAGAGCAATGCGCAGTCAATGATTGATTTGAAAAACGGGGCCCCGCCGCCCGACCACCCATTATATTGTCCGTCGGTAATGCTCCCTGAAAGACATTATGTGGGCACTCTCGCGCCAGCCGCGAGAAACAAAATGTGACGTAAAGGGAGTGTTCCACATTTGTATGAGGTTTAGAACTGAAGCAGGCGTCTTGAAGATCATTTGGAACAGTTCACATCCCTGCCCTTCT